ACAATAACCACGCCCACATCCCATATAACGGTAATTTTCAGAAATACGAAAACTGCGATATTTTAGTAACTACTGAAGATAATTCACTCAAAATTGATATTTACAATAAATTTCAGACGAAAAATAAGAATATTATAAATTTTTAGAAAATGGGCGTAGCCACGCCCACTTATGGTTACATGTGCATATCTTGGTAACCGCTGCACCAATTTCTTCCAAACTTGGCACAGTTGTTGGCCTGGATACAGCATACTAACTGGCCGAAAATTAAAAAAAATCGGACAATAACCACGCCCACATCCCATATAACGGTAATTTAGAGAATACAAAATCTTCGATAAATCAGAAAATATTAAAGCTAATTTATTCAAAATTGATGCTTGCAACAATTCTTTACCAAGAAATACGTTTATGGTGAAAGTTTTGGAAAATGGGCGTGGCACCGCCCACTTATGATCACATATATGTTTATCGGTAACCGTTCTACCAATTTGTACCAAACTCGGTATTTTGTTCTTGCCACATAAAAGCAAAACGTTGAAAATTATTGAAATCGGACTAAAATTACGGCCGCTTTTCATATAACGGTAAATTTCAGGAATGCTTGAAACTGCAATATTTCGAAATTTAAGGACGCTAATTTACTCAGAATTGATACACCCCGTCTTACCTTCTAGCGGTAGCTTTCGGAAAGGTGAAAAAACATATATTTAATACTTGCGCCGGGTATTTAATGTTCGGCTTCGCCCGAACTTAGACTTTCTTACTTGTTTTACTTAGAATTTTAATAGGGTTACCAGCTGTCTAAACAACTAGAAGATCCGCACCGTTCGTTGGATTACAAAAGGTGACGTTTCAAATGAAAGGGATTGACCTCTAGGAAAGCACAAATATTTTTTTTTATATGTTTGCCACCTGTTAATAAAACTACCATATTCAATCATAATAAGCGTAGGCTTCAGTTCTGTACCGTCACTGTCAGACGAAAAGACTTAGCCTCTGGATGTGTAATAATGTATTGTTTTTCTGAGTAGGGTTGCCACCTGTTTGAAAACTATACAGCGTGGGGTCCTTTATGGATTTTGCGAAAAAAGTATTTTATTGTAAATTTTCCACAGATTTTACTTTAGTTGTATTAATTAGTTTTTAGATTTTAATCCCTATTTACATTTTCCAGCAGTGTAAACTTTGAAAGCAATGTTCATTTGGCACGCAGGCCTTCGTCAATTAATTTATTCCATATCTTCTGTAACCATAGGCTAATTTTCTACATTTTGAGTCCCTTATACTCCCCCTTCTGTCTAGAATAAGGCCTTTTACTTAAAAATCGAATAGACTCATTCATTCTCATTCGAACAACCCTATACAGTTTTTATCTTTTTTTGTCTTTTTGTATACAATGCCTTAGAAAAAATACACCTGAAAAAGACTTGCGTGCCAAGTGAACTTTTCTTTCAAAGTTTACACTGCTGGCAAATGTAAATAAGGATTAAAATTTAAAAACTAATTAATACAACTAAAGTAAAATCTGTGGAAAATTAACAATAAAATACATTTTTCGCAAAAGCAATAAAGGACCCTTTTATTTCTCAAAAAACCTGGGTAACAGTTATTCGTCGCCACGCTGTAAGATTTTCACCGTTCGTTGTAGAAAAACTTTAGTTTTTTGAGTAGGGTTGCGACCTATTTAAAATTACTATCTTCTATACATAGTATAAAGGAATGGCGAGATATTTTAACCACGCTACTGAACGGATTTAGACAAGTATTTTTATGTATATAATAAACGAAGTATATGATGACATACGATTTCTTTCTCCAAATACGTAAATGTACATACATATGAGTAGTCCACTTGCAAACAGCGTTATGTGATTTTATAATAGTAAGCCATAAATTAAAAAAACGTCTACAACAACAAGTAAAATCCAAATTGTATATTTTTTTATTATCTGAAAATTTGGATAAATTAGAGTCTAATAACATTAAAAAACAAAATCGCAGTATGGTAGTTTTTGCAAATTTTATATATAAAAAATTAATATTGCGAGTTTTGAAACAGTAACTGTTACATAGCCCGATTTTTTAGCTTTTCGCGTTCTCTCTTCTATGAAGATTGGTCTACTTTTTTTTACGACGTCTTCCACTAGGCACCGAAACTACCACGTTTTCTTGCAGTTTTCTAAGTTTATCAGAAGATGGAGACTTTCGAACTTGTATAAATACGTACAATAAATATTATAGCGACTTTTGAAAGTGTATATATACATACAGTAAGTATTATAGCGACTTTTGCTAGAGTAGCTAACATTTGATGCTATTTTTTCAGAACATATAAGGATTTTGCACTGTATTGTTAGTGGACATGAAACTACTTTAAATACTGGTACGTTAACCACCAAAAACTAAAAATCTAAAAAATTTTACATAGAGCTCTTTGCAAGAGGACTACTCATATGCATACATTCAGCGCGTGGCGAAACCTCCGGCTAGTACTAAACTAAATTTGTATTTGTCTATTAGTTAAGATTATCTTTTGAAATTTAGTTTACACATATGTATTAATAAGGATAGATCAATCAACTACAATAAAATTTTTAAATAAAATGATCGAGGGATATTTTTATATGTCAGACTTAACTTACGTAAGAAACCATCAATGATTACTCAACATGTCAACTTAGCCAGAGGCGAAAATATTTTGTTTTTGTATATTCCTTTTCAGCTGATTTTCACTTTGCATCACTGGCTTGACTACATCATTGGAGCATGTATAGAATGCCAAACGTTTAGCAATGCGCAACGATAAAACTTTTTACGCTAATTTTAACCATATAAAAATTATTTAGTGCACGTGATAACCCAAGGAAACTATAAGAGGTTAAAGTTCAATTTTTAAATTTTTTTACATATACATATGCATAAAATCTCGGAAGCTACTTTACCGATTTGGAAAGGTATTGAAGTCACTTTAGAGATAATTTAAATACCTTTTATACGACGCACATAGGGGTATTTGGCCGATTTAGGCGGCCAAAATTATTTTTATGAAAATTTTATTTCAAAATGTTTAGAAAAGACGTGTTACGATATCTAAAATTGTAAATGTTTAAAATCAAGTAAATATAGGTGGAGGACGTACAATTATTCCTCCAAAGCAACGAAAATAAAGTTGGTTAAAGTTTGACACCGATAGACTCTATGTTGCCGTGGTCCGATTGCATAAACACGCATACCTATATACGTGTTCGTCTCGGCGATGTTTATATAGGTTAGTACATGCAAAGAGTTGCCACCTGGTAAAAACTTAAATATAGTTAAGTTAACTGAATTACTACAATATGGGTATCAATTGAAATGGTTTTGAAAGGCTTCATTTCTAAACAACATGTGGCAGGGTTACCACCTGTTTACAAATGAAATTCAACTTTAACTAAGGGAATAACAGACAAATAATTTTTTTTTTTACAATGTTGCTCAAAAATTTATTTTTATTGGTAAAATGCGTATGGACTTCCTTGAGATATAAGTTACAAAAAAATGATGGAAATAACCAATTTTATCTTGTAATGCAATGGATAATAAATGTGTAATTGAATTCTAAAACAAAATTTGCGTAAAAAACTCTTTTAGGATGATGATGAGTGCCAAGATTCTTCATCGGACCCTTCTTCCTCTTCTGAAGACTCTCCAGACTTCGTGTCCTCCTTTGAAAATGGTTTGGTCGCTTTTTTTTGGCTTTGGCTGAAACTACTAATGAGTGGATCAGAGCTTAGGAGTAACCTGTTCAACACGACCAGATCGCGGCTGTTGCACACCTTTGGGAATTGAAAATATTCCTTGTAGCCAGGTTACGTTACTTTAAAAAAAAAATTCTTCTTTTCCACGGGCTTTTATCCACCTTTGTATAAACTGTGCTTTTAGTTGTGAAAATTTGTGCTTTATATCTCTTATTTGTTCATCGGAGAAGGTGTCAGATGATAATATATCATTTTGAAGAAACTTTATTTTGTTCTCAAAATTCATAGAATTTTGTCGATGCATCTTATGAAATAAATATTTTCGAGTTACTACTCTATAGCAGGAACCAGTTGATGACTCTAAAGCAAAGGAAATACTTAAAAATGACAAAATATGTATGGAAACGAAATATTTTTAAGATCTATCTTAATTATTGGTCATAAAAAGCTCATCGGTAGATATCGGAAGCTAATTTTTGTCCAGTATACTATCAAAGCTCCATTCTATAGAACGCAACTAGTAATGTAACGTGGAAATGCGTGCAAGTATAACTAAAAGCTTACGGTTTACAAAGTAATAAAAAATAATCACTAAAAAAATATAATATTTCCGATTACTGATATTATTACTTAGATTAAATTTTGCTAAATCGAAACTATTTAAAATAACAATTTTTAATTGTATAATGACCACAATAATAATAATCACTTTTGAGCGCAACTGTTTCACAATGAATGTCGTAAAATAAAACGTGCACTATCACAAACTGACAAGTTACGACTGAGATACTCCGTCAAAGTGGCGTCATAAGTTCGGGGTAGGGGTTGCCTATTGTTCCGCAACTATTCAACTGTGGCAGGTAGTATTTTTTTGTTCCTACGATAAGTTTAAAAAATAGACTTATGACCGCAAAGATCGATCAAATACCCCTATGTGCGACGTATAGACTATAACCTCTTAAAACTAATTTTAGATAAACACTGTTAAAAAATATATACAAAAAAGTATATATATGTACAGTGAGTAACTTTAATATTTGGTTTTTTCATTACTATGCCTTTTATACTAAATTTCTATAGGAAAAATTAGAAAAATTGCACTTATTTCACATCATAGTTTATGACATGCATTTCCTTTTATGGTACGCTACTTCGCTGCTAAAATGTTATGGTTAAAAACCGAAACGAAACCAAAAACGTACAAAAGTCAGAATTTCACACAACATTAATATTCGGGTTTCTTAATAATGCAGCCACGTACTTGCAAATAAATCCATAAAATGTTAGGGAATAATATTTACTGTTAAACCCGTCGTTTTAATAACATCCTTACACGTTTTGGAATATAATTAATTAGTTTTAGTGTATAGCCTTTCCCGATTTGCGCCCATTCTTCCTGCAACCTTTCTTTTAGCTCCCTCCGAGAAGTTATTGACTTCTTTAGAACACGCCGTCCAAATTCATTCCACGAATTATCGATGGGGGGCATGCCAGAAGAATACGGAGGAGTAAAAATCAGTTTAGGCCAAATGAAAAGCAGCCATTCTCGCACAATGTGAAGTATTTTCTCAGTATAATTATATTGGTAAAAGTTAAAACTGCACACAATTGCCATTTTATCATCTCATTGCTTAAAGTGTTTGCTCTCTAAAACTCTAAAATCCGCTGCTGATATTTTATCGACATTTTGAAAGAACGTATACGCCCCAACTAATAATCTTCTTCTAAAGTCTGATGGTTCGAATGGCTGAGTAATTAGGTAAAAGCTATTAATAAACAAATGCACCAGAAAAATGTTGCCAGTATTGGTGGAAGAACGTTACTGTCCTGGTTGAGTGCAAATTTGACTTATTTGCAAGCGCCGCGATTGTTGGAAGCCCAATGAAGCGCGGAAACCGCAGCTCCTAAAGCCGATAATAAATCATGAAGATGACCATGTAATGACTTGGGGATACATTTCATCCCTGAGAACTTAAAATCTCGTTTTTATCGAGAATATTGAAAATAAGGATATTTATTTAACATATTGAGGCCAAATTTGAGGCAAGCAGATGAGAAAATTACAATTCTGCGCAGTTTTAAACTGTACCAAGATGATTATACAGTACAAATACATCACACTGTGCGAGAATGGCTGCTTTACAAATGGCCAAAACTGATCTTTACTCCTCCAAAATCTCCTGGCTTATACTATATCGATAATTCGTGCATTGAGTTTGGACTGCGTGTTCTAATGAAGCCAATAACTTCTCGAAGGAACCTAAAACAAAGGTTGCAGGAAGAATGGGTGGGAATCTGGCAAGACTATAAACTAAAATTAATTAATTATATTCCAAAATGTGTAAGTGATGTTATTAAAGCCACCGGTTTAACATTAAATATTATTCCCTAACATTTTATGCATTTATTTGCAAGTATTTGGCTACATTATTAAGAAACCCGAATATTAATGCTGTGTCGAATTTTGACTTTTTTGCTTTTTTGGTTTCGTTTCGGTTTTTAACCATAACATTTTAGCAGCGAAGTAGCGTACCATAAAAGTAAATGGATGTCATAAACTATGATTTGAAATAAGGGCAATTTTTTAAAATTTTTCCTGTAAAAATTTAGAATAAAAGGCATAGTAATGAAAAAACGAATATTAAAGTTACTCACTGTTTTTTTTTTTTAATTTTGCCTTATTAAAAAAGCTGCAAAATTTTCTCTTTCTTTTGACATACCATATGACTACCTTAATTGACTATTGTTTAAAGCCACAAAATATGAAAAAAAAACGAAAAATTAGAGATTGCAAGTTTTTTAACCGACTTCAAAAGGAGGTTATCGATTCGTGGGAATATTTTTTTTTATGTATGTTACCGCATAATTTTGGACCTCGATTTCTATAATTCTTTTTTTAAAGGAAAGGTGTTACCTCAGAGGTGGTCCCATACTAAATTGGTTTAGATCTGATCATTGGATTGTGAAGAAATTAACGATAATCTTAAATTTTTATATGAGAACTAGCAGACCCGGCGAACTTCGTCCCGCGCAAAATAATTTTTTTTTTGTTTTGAATATTTTGGTCTAACATTTTCACGAACAGTTCACCTTCATGATTTTCAGTGACGCATTTATCTTCTAATATTACGGTTTGGTGGTTGTCAGAAGGCATATTTCCATTGCCGTCTTAAACAACATAGCAAAAGTATGTATGCATACAAAGATACGTAATAGTTTCAGTGCGTCTGGAAGGCACCATGCCCACTTTTCACATAGCCCAAATTTTCTCTAAGAGTATGGGATTGATTTCATATATCCCCACACCATGTTCGAGTGCTCTACCATGAACACTTCCGGAGATATGTAGTATGAAAAATAATCTTTTTATGAGAGGGCCTAAACAAAAAAAAAATTTTCAAAACCAATAACCTACTTACTAAAAAATTGTTTATTATAGAAGTTCACAAAAGTTGATATACAACTATTCGTCGACTTAAATAGTTAACTTTTTACTGCGCATGTTTATTTTACGAGGAGGAAGCATCGAAAGCCCAACCCCGTCAGTGTGAGACTTTAACCCAAACTAAACTTCCTACCGTCGTGTACCGTTCACCTCCCGGTACCACTGTCAAGGATTTCATCGGTATTATAACATTGTGTGACTGCTAAGGTTAGAGATCTATTCGCTTCTTCTTCTTCTTCTTATTTGGCGTTGTAACCGCCAAAGTTTTATTTGGCCGAGTTGAACAAAGCACGCCAGTCGTTTCTCTTCTGTGCCAACTGACGCAAATTGGAAATGCCAAGTGAAGCCAGAATACTTTCAGAGCTGGAGCGTTGGTGTCCATTCGAACGACATGGTCAAGCCAGCGGAGCCGCTGTATTTTAATTCGCTGCTCTATGTCTCATGTCGTTGTAATCTCATACAGCTCATCGTTCCATCGTCTGCGGTAATCGCCGTCACCAACGCGTAAAGGCCCGTAAATACTCCGCAAAATCTTACTCTCGAATACTCAAGAGCCGCCTCATCGGATGTTGTCATTGTCCATGCTTCTGCGCCATATACCAACACGGGCGTGATGAGTGACTTATAGAGTGTGGTTTTCGTCCGTCGAGAGAGAACTTTACTCCTGAATTGCCTACTCATCCCAAAGTACTACTTGTTGGCAAGAGTGATTCGGCGTTGGATTTCCATGTTGACGTTATTATCGGTGTTAATGCTGGTTCCCAAGTAAACGAAATTCTCTACTTTCTCGAAATTATAACTATCAACAGTGACGTGGGTGCCAAGGCGCGAATGTGCTGATTGTTTGTTTGATGACAGGAGATACTTCGCGTTGTCCTTTACCATCAGACCCATCCGCATTGCTTCCTTATCCAACTTGGAAAAGGCAGAACAGACTTCTCGGTTTTTCTTACCGGTGATGTCAGTGTCATCGGCATAAGCCAGCAATTGTACACTCTTGTAGTAAATTGTTCCTGAGCGGTTCAGTTCTGCAGCTCTTATTATCTTCTCCANTTCTCGGTTTTTCTTACCGGTGATGTCAGTGTCATCGGCATAAGCCAGCAATTGTACACTCTTGTAGTAAATTGTTCCTGAGCGGTTCAGTTCTGCACCTCTTATTATCTTCTCCAACATCAGATTAAAGAAGTCACATGAAAATAAGTCGCCCTGTCTGAAACCTTGTTTGGTGGCGAACGGCTCGGAGAGTTCTTTACCAATTCAGGCAGAGCTGGGGGTATTGCTCAACGTCATTTTACACAGCCGTATGAGTTATGAGGGGATGCCAAATTCACACATAGCGGCATATAGGCAACTCCTTTTAGAGCTGTCGAAAGCGGCTTTAAAGTCGACAAATGGGTGGTAATTTCAAAGATTTGGCGTATTGTGAATATATTGGCTATGGTGAATTTGTCAGGTCTAAAGCCACACTGATAAGGCCCAATCAGTTCATTGACGGAGGTATTCAGTCTTTCACACAATACTTTCGATAAGACCTTCCAACTTATGCTTAGAAGGCTGATCCCGAGGTAGTTGGCACGCATGGCGGGGTCGCCTTTCTTGTGGGTTGGGCCGTCAACTCAAGCAGCTTTGTTACTTTTCGTCAGCATAATCGCTATTCGTACCTCGTCATGGTCAGGCGCTGGGATATCGACTCCATTGTCATCGACTGGGGACTCGCGTTCGACTTCTCCACTTCTTTCAGTGCTTCTGCCATTCAAAAGGGTCAAAAAATGTTTCCTCCATAATTTGAGTACGTTCTGGACATCGGTCACTAGGTCGCCATTGTTGTTCCTACAGGAGTCTTCAAACCTTCCGTAAGTCGTTCAACTCTCAGCTTTTTGACACTCCCCAGCGGCGCAAATGCACATTACGAAATCGAATACTCCTTCAAAACTTCGAAGGCGGTATATCGGAATGAATGGATTACAGCCGAGATTACTTTGCCATAAGCATGGCCGCAGACTGCCTACAATATGCATTACAATTTTAAATTGGGTTAGCGGTATTGTAATCAATTATTTGTATGGATTACGCAATGCATATTGTGGACGGATCCCATTTAGAAGGCGCCGCTGTGCGCTCATCGTACCAGTAATGAGCGGGAGATGTGGTTCCACTGCTCACGTATGTCGGTTTGTTGAAGAGTGCTCTCTCACAGCAGGCGTGAGAGTCGAGCGGCGAATCCATTGGCCGTCTGTTTTGATTGTAGGTTTTTGAAATTGAACTTTCTTTGCATTGTTGGGGCCCTTTTTTTGCTGCACCGAGGTGGGGTCGTATATTGGCTGCATCAATATAGTGGTGCGAGTCGATGTTTTGCTCTCGGAGTGTACGTATGTACATCTAAAACACTGGAAGCATGCCTTCCATCTATCACAACATGCT